AGATAGAACTAGATTGCAGGTGTGGTGCATGAAATATGAGTCAGGGAGAATATTTCACAGACGTTTGCAAGAGCTCAGGTGAGATAATAAGGGCCAAAACTAAGGGAATAGAAGTTTTGAATTCCAGAGATGTTTAGAAGGAGAATTGACAAGTCTTGCAAGTTGATTGAATTGGGGAATGATGATTTTGATGCCTAGATTGATAAGGACTCAGCATTAAAATTGGGACCAAAGCAGGAAAGATGTTTGGGTGGAAGATTAGTGATGAGTCTGCCCTGGTCATGCTGAGATGTTGGGCCTTCAGACAAAAGGTTCAGAGAGGTTTAGGCTGGGATCTCACATGGGGATGAGGACAGGTGTTAGAACCACAAGTGAGTGAAATTGCCTGGGACAGGTCACAGGGGAGTTTGTGCAGGTAGGGAGAAGGAAAGATAACCAAGAATAGAATACCAGCATTTAAAAGCAAAGGGACAAAAGTGATAAAGACAGAAAAAGAACAGATAATCAGACTTAGGAAAAAACGGTAGCATAGAAGTGTCAGGGGTCCCCAAGACCAAACTTGCTGGAAGGATTCACAGAACTCAAAAAACTATACTCACAGTTATGGTTTATTAACTATATAGATTAAAATTAGCAAAGGAAACAGCACATAGGGTAGAGTACGGGAGAGACCAGGCACAAACTTTCAGTTGTCCTCTTCTGGTGGAGTCATGTGGACAGCTCTTAATTCTCCCAGCAACAATGTGTAACAACACACAGATATTGCCAATCAGGGAGGCTTACCTAAGCTTTGGTGCAGAGTTGTTATTCGAGGTCAGTCACATAGGCATGAAGTGCCTGCCTGGCTAATCTTCAGTCCCTAGCCACTCTAGAGGTCAAGCTGATACAGGATGGCCCAAGGCCTCCACCATAAATCACATTTACACTATCTGGCATGGCCCAAGGACCAGGTGTATATGGACAATCTTATCAGGCAAGATGTTCCAATGACTTACAGGTTATCTCCCAGGGGCTGGTGAAGGACCAGTTTCTTTGGAATATGCAAACCTGTTGAAAGCTAACCCATTTCTGTATAGAAGCCAAAGGGAAAGGAAGGTATTTCAGAAAGAAGGAGGCTTGTATGTTAGTTGCTGGGAAGAGAGCAATTAAGGCAAGGACTGAACGATCTCCAGTGAATTTGGCAACTCGAGTATCATTCATGACCTTAGCAATAGTAGTTTGAATTGAATTAGTAGGGCACAAGCCAAATTGCAGATGTGTTGAATAAATGAGAATTAAGGAATAGATTGCAAGTGTTCATATAGTTCTTTGAGAACAATGGAAGTGAAAAGGGGAAACTTGAGCAGGAGTTAGAGTGGGACTATGGTTGCCAACTAAAATACAGGATACCCAGTTAAATTTGAATTTCAGACAAGCAATGAATAATTTTTTATTGTAAAATACTCATAAAATTTACAATTTTAAACAAAGTATATAATTCAGTGATATTTAACACATTGACAGTGTGCAGCCATCACCACTATCCAGATTCCAGAACATTTTCTTTTCCTCAAAAGGAAACTCCATACCTGTTAAGCAGTCACTCCCCATTTCCCTCTCCCTCAGCCCCTGGCAACTACTGATCTGCTTTCTGTCTCTGTGGATTTGCCTATTCTGGATATTTCGTGTAAATGGAACTATGTAATATGTGGTCTTTGTGTCTGGCTTCTTTTACAGAGCATATGTTTTCAAGGTTCATGTTATAACATGTATCAGTACTTCATTCTGTTTTATGGGTGAACAATATCCCGTCATGGATGTACCTCATCTTGTTTATCCATTCATCAGTTGATGGACATTGGGTTGTTTCTACCTTTTGGCTATTGTGAATAATGCTGCTATGAATATTCATGTATAAGTTTTTGTTTGAACACCTGTTTTCAGTACTTTTAATATATACCTGAGAGTGAAATTTCTGGGTCATGTCGTAATTCTGTGGTTTGTGTTTGTTTGTTTGTTTGTTTGTTTTGAAACAGAGTATTGCTCTGTTGCCCCGGGTCGAGTGCGGTGGCATTATCAGAGCTCACTGCCACCTCACACTCCTGCGCTCAAGCTGTCCTCCTGCCTCAGCGTCCCAAGTAACTGGGACTACAGGTGTGCACTGCCATGCGTGGCTAATTTTTCTGTTTTTTGTGGAGATGGGGTCTGACTCTTGCTCAGGCTGGTCTCGAACTCCTAAGCTCAAGCAATTCTCCCGCCTTGGCCTCCCAGAGTGCTAGGGTTACAGGCATGAGCCACTGTGCCCAGCCTCTATGTTTAACTTACTGAGGAACTGTCAAACTTATTGAGGAAACGTCAAATGGCTGCACCATTTTACATTCCTACCAGCAATATACTAAGGTTTCAGTTTTTCTGTGTCTTTGCTAATACTCGTTATTTTAATTTTATTTTTTTGGAGCATATTTTTCATTTATCAAAAACATTTAATGTATAAAAGTATAGAAAGCCAATGAAAATAGCTTGACATGTCACCATGATACATATGAGAGATGAGGAGGGTATATTAAGGAGCTCATTGAAATTTTTACTACAAAACAGTGGCAGGTGGTTTCACCACTAGATGGGAATCTTAGGGGAACATTTCATTCTTGAACCTCTAAGAGTCCTGGTATGGGTCCAGTGGAGGCAGGAGGTGGCAGTGGAGGCAGGAGGTGGCAGCGGAGACAGGCACTGGGGCTCCTGGGAGATGCCATTTTCTGCGGCACCATCTGAGGTTGATGTTCTCTGCGGTATCTCCCTCTTTTCTATTTGGCCAGATGATTCTGATTCTCTGTCCTTCTCTGTCATTGGTTCCAAATGGGCACTGACCTCCTCATCTCCAAGACCATTACAGAACTCTTTGTACACCAAGGAAAAGTCTGATTCTGAGCTACAGGAGAAGCTGTTACCGTCAGTGCCTATTATTTCTCCCTCATGGGAACTGTCCACATCACTCAGGCAAACAGTTTTGTTGACCTGTTTCTTCATAGGTCTTTTCTTCTGTATCTTTCGGGCTTTTCCTTTCTTCTTTTTAAAGCTCTTCGATGTCCACTTATCATCACTGCTGGACATCTCAGAGTCAGAGGAGGACACAGGCTGACACACAGGCAAGTGGCTCCTCCTCAGGGTCATTGCGTTTACACTTTGCCAGGTGCAAGGGCTTCTTGCATGGTTATTGAGAAGATTCAAAGGAAGGCAAATACCAAGTGTCCAGAACGATTTCTGACACATAGTAGACGTTCAATAGGTTTGAGTTCCACTGT